GGAGAAGACCCCAGTGACAATTCTAGACTTCCGGGAAATGGGACGAGACGCCAAACGAGTGTTAATTATCACGCATCCAATATTAATGAACACCAAGGTCCGAGTGTCTAATTACTAGGACGATGCATAGATAATGGAAAACTCTTTCATCACAAACTCGCAAATACTATTGTAATAAATATTCATGGTTTATGATGTTATCGAAAACCACGCTTAAATGATGACGGCCAGCTTAATGGTTGAAATGAAAACAGTCTCCTAGCTATTTTGGAAAGCAGTGTCATAATAAGATGGCTGTGTTCATTTTTTTCCACGTAACGGAACTCACGACGAAACAATCACAACAGAGTTACCTGTATCACCTGGAGTCCCGTATGTCGTCGAGTGACTCGAGCGGGTGCTAGTAAATCTCCCATTTTTCCCTGCCGCGCGCAAGAGTAGCCCAGTGGGTTCTGATCCTTCTAGGGAGTCGTTGAGCATCATATCTTTCCTCTAGGCTTTTCGTGAAGAACTCTGACCATCGAGCCGGTGGTCCTCCTGCAGTGCGGATCACATCTCGAGGAATCCAGTCACAAACGGCTCTTGTCCATCGGTTGTCATTCATATGCATTACGTGTCCGGTCCACCTTGTCTTCGACTTCTTGCCGTATAGAACGGCACCTTTGATTTTTGACCGTTGATGCAGGTCGGAGCTTCGTGTCCCTTCCCTAACTTGCTTGACAAGGGATACTCCTAGCATCGCCCTATCGACTGAGCGTTCAATAACGCTGCATGATTTCTCATTGTTTTTGCTGTACATTGGTAGTGTTCTGGTAGAAAGAGTTAGATAAGACTGGGTGACCTATAAACGCAACGACCAGGTTTCTGACGCATAAGTTAGGGCAAGAAGTACCGTTGAGTCGAAAAGGTGGGCACGGAGTTGGGTGTTCTTTGTTTTCCTCACTACATCTTCGATGCTCTCGAAAACTCCCCAGGCTACTCGTTTTCTTCTGCTCAGCTCTGGAGCTAAGTCGTCGTCGTGTTGACTCTTGATATAAATACACAAAACTGGAGCATTCGGAGATATTCGTTCCATTGAGCGTGAATGCGGCATACGAAATCAATCCGTTCCTCATAAACACCGCTTTCGTTACATTTAGTCGAAGACCAATCTTTAAACAGATTTCACCAAAGTCGTCAAGCATTCGTTCCGCTTGTCTAATGTTTGGTGTTATAAGGACGATGTCATCAGCAAAGCGAAGATGGTGTAATTGCCGACCATCGATTTTCACTCCTACGTTGTCCCATTCCAATGTTCGCTTGACGTTCTCGAGGGTGGCAGTGGCGAGATGGTACCGTCCTGCCTAACCACTCTTTTGACGTCGATATTTATATCGTTGTGGAATGGTGATATCTTGGAGGTGAAATTTTTACACCGCTCACGAAGAATCTTTATGTACTGAGTAGGGATTCCCTGACTAGCAACGGCTTCCATAATTGCTTCTATCTCAGTTGAGTCAAAGGCCTTCTTTAAATCGAAGAAAGTGGGATAGAGCGATCCTTCGTACTCTCTCGACACTTCAACGAGTCTTGTTATCGTGTTGATGCGGTCTATCGTACTAAATGCTTTTCGAAACCGTGCTTGCTCACATGGTTGTCCTTCGCCCAGTGTTCTGTCAATCCTGTTTAGGATGTGATGACTCGAGTGAAAATTTTGTAGACAACAGACAGTAAGCACATTGAGCGGTAGTTGGCGATATCGTAGACGTCACCCTTCTTGAACAATAACACGGTCTTTCTGGTCTTCCACTGAGAAGGGACCTTGAATTTAGAGAGGTAACGTGCGAAAAGTAGGGCAGTGTGTTTACGAAGACTGGCGGAAGGTTCTTTAGGTGTTCTGGTCTTATCCTGTCCGAATCTGGTGATGTTCGATTTTTCACCAACGTAATGACATGTCGGATTTCGGAAGGGAGAACCGGTGGTACAACATCTCCATCCTCCTTTATTTCATATAACGAAAGGTGGACGTGGCTATCGAAGTGATCTGAATAGTATTCGTGCACGATTTTCTCCATTGCCTTTCTGGACGCTGTAACTGTTCCGTCTGGGCGCCGGAGAGCAATCATCTTGGGCTTGTAATTGGCGAAGCTTCGGTGGGTTTTGCGAATGCTTCTAACAGCCTCTGCAGCTTCGACCATTACTGCTGCTCTTCTGTCTTTGAGATCTTGTTTTATCGCCTGTCTGCATTGCTTTGTAAGTTCGGACGTTAGTTCACGGTTGCCTCCATCTCGTGCTATTCCACCCTGATGTATTGGCTCGAGAGTTTCTGGAGACAGACATCTCTTAGTGACTTTCGAACTCTGAGCTTTCATAGCGCGCGCGTGAAGGTGTTGAATGAGCCGATCGTATACTTCGTCGATGTCATCGACAACGGCATCTTCCCAATAGCCCACTAACAAATTGAATAAGTACCAGTTTATGGTGGTTCTGGGACCTCGGTTTTTGAATTTACAGACTTTTTCTCCTTTCCGCGAGAAATAGAATCTTGCACGAAGGAGACGGTGGTTCGATCCCGTGTAGAATTTTGGGACAACAGCGACATTGGTCAGGTAAAAGCTTCGGTTTACTATGGTGTGGTCTATTTTGTTATGGAACTCACCACTGGGAGACTCCCACGTCCAGCGTTGAGGGTGGGGCATTTGAAATTGCGCATTACCATGGATGGTCTTGATCGTCATAATAAACTCAGAGAGCCGCTCACCCTGATCGTTCCATTCTAATCCATGGGCCGGAATGTGACGTTCTCCTTGGTCCAATCATGGCGTTAAATTCTCCAATGATGACCTTGGAAAATGTATGGTCTCCTCTGTAGAACTTCATGGCGTTAAATTCTCCAATGATGACCTTGGAAAATGTATGGTCTCCTCTGTAGAACTTCTCCAAGTCCATATAGAACGCTTCGACTTCTTCTTCGTCATAGTTTGATGTCGGTGAGTAAACGACGAAGATTGTCAAAGCCGATATTGATTCACATCTTTCTAGTCGTAAACGTCCGATTCGGGTTGTAAGTTGTTTGAATGAATCGATGTTCGTGGACAAACTCGTGGTGACGAGAACGCCGACCCCTCTACTGTCGCATTTTCCGAGGAACAGTTCTTCTCCGGTGTCATAGACGGCTTTGAATGGGTGGAGTCGTCTTGTCTCGGCCAGGCTGATGACGTCGTACCTTATTCTTCTCGTCTGCATGATCAAGTCTTCTATCCAGGGCTCGGATGCAAGTGCGCGCGCATTTTAGGTATAGATCACAGAGGACTCCCATATGAGGGATCTCGAGCCGGTACGTGGCGCGTCCACAGGTGGGAGTTAATCGGGGACCAAAAGCGACCTTTGCTTCCCTGAGTTGCAGGTGGACCCAGGGAATGGACTCCCTGTTTCTGCTGCGTATTTGGGACGTTCTTTCTGCATTTGCTAGGCGTATTCATGCATGCGTGTGTGGGTGCCTTCTTGCTTATGCGGATTGTATTCTAGGAGTCAATTCGGCCAAAAACCTGCAATCAAGTGACAGGGAAGCATATCGAAGACGGTTAGGGGTCGCCTCCAACAAATAAGCTCCATCTCCACACTAGGAGAAATTGGCAAGATACATATAAGTATACCCAGCCCCCATGTTCAGAGCCCAGCAATCTATACGTGGGTATCAAGAAAGCTAAAAACAGTAAAATAAACAGGTCTCATTCCGCTGACCCCGAAAGAGTCTCCAATTCGGCAGCGTTGAGTAGGACGAGTAGGGAGAGGTTGCTAAAATCTCAAGGAAAACTGAAGCCGCCTGGATCACAAAAGAGCACTACCATAAAACTGACGAAATTGTTCAAAAGTGCAACTTATGCATCCAGATTTTACCAACAGAAAAGCCTGGTCCCTCTTGTGACACAGCAAAGTTAGACTACACGTAGCGTAACTTGAGAAACAGAAGCTAAATGAGCTCGACTATGAAACGCTGCCTCACTCACAACTCAGCGGACCTCTCACTATCCAAATTCTAGGTGTACAATGCTAAACAACCAAGTCAGTACAAAAGACGTTTTTGCAGGAACCGTCTACTCTAGGACTTCAAAGTGCTGTTTTACAAAAACGGATAAAATTGCCTTTCGTGAGCAAAGATGGATACATAGCAGCGGCAATTTTTAACCAATAAGTTTGTTCTTATGAACTGATATTGTTGAGCTGACGCGAGGTTACTACAGTCGTTGTTGCTGTTGTTGTTGTTGTTGTCGATGTTGTTGTGTTGTTCTTAGTCTATGGCCGACCCCTCGACGATTTCGCCATCCTCATTGCCGTGGTGTTACCAGTGCCATCGACCAACAACAACAACAACAACAACAGCAACATGGACAACAACAATAACAACGACAGCTATACTAACCTCGCATTAGCTCAACAAGATCAGTTCACAAAACATATAAACAAATACATCCACTATTTATGCCAAGGAGCGCGTGTGGCGTAATGGCCGGAGGCGCTCTGCGACACATACACACGTGGGATCGTCTTTTGAGGTCTTCTGAGTTAAAGTTTGGTTTAAGCTTCACCGAGGCTAATTATTCTACAAATAATAGGCAAAAAAACAGCTGTAGGTATTCATACTACAGGCAACATAATTCTCATTTAGAATCGAAATATTCCAAGGAAATATCCCTGATAAGAACACGAGTCTCTTCATATTTCAGTCATGTAAATTCAGCGATATGCTGTCAACTGTGGAAAACCTCACCATGCTTTCTAGAAAAAGCTTCGTATCTTCTCTTGCTCGGCTATCAACGTCCTTCTTCTTCTGCTCTATCCTTTCCAAAGCTGTTTTACCACGGATTCTTTTAAGCAACTCCAAAGTGTTCAACTGCTCCAGTAAATCTTCGTGTGCATCACAATTCCTCAAAATTACGAGTCATTCCATCTTACAGAAAGAAATTCTACGGAAGAACTGAATTTCGCCTTCACATAAGAAATCAAAATTCCTTATCACTTCAGAGCACTAACTTTGAAAATGTGTTTATAACGGCAACGTATTTGTTTGGAGTTAACATGCCTAGACGAATACTCGGCCATCGTTTCCCAAACATCGGACCATAGTAAAAGTCACAGTGATCGATTGCTATAGCTGAAGGCGTTCTCAGTGGTTGAGTCTTGGCAATCTGAGAAGTCACTGCTCAGACCTAATAGCACTTTAAGCAACAAAGAAGAAAGATCGCAAAAATTTCTGATGGAACTTTCACTTAACAGTTACAGGAAAATGTGAGTTGATATGAATTCATACGTGAATTAACGTAGTCAATATGAATCGATTTTCGCCCATTCTATCTTGATGTTTATTCTGCTGCACCGAACGTTTCTTTCTACACGTTCCGTGCCTTAACAATAGCTTCCTTGCCACAAATGTTGCCCCAGACATCAGCTAAGAAGAGTTATTTCCTTTACTTATACCAATCTCGCAAAAGTTCAACAAGATCAGTTCACAGGAACGTAAAAACAAATATATCGATTATTCATTCCGAGGATTATAGGAAGTCGGCGTTTTGAGTTCTTTCCTTTACAATCTACGAGAAACTTAAACCAAGAAATTTGTTCTCTCGACAGGAAAACCGTTCTCGGTGAGAAAACCACTAAAAATTTTCTATTAAAGAAACTTTTTCTTCGCGGGAAGGTAATTAACTTACTACGACGTGTGTAAGTCCTTTAATGTGCTAAAAATGATACAGCGGAAATCGAGAGGATAGTTATTACATTAGGAGACGTAAGTGTTAAATAGAAACGGATTAACATTCATAAGAAATTAATGTAATAAAACTCACTTTCGGCTTGAACTTGACAATCTTAGACCGTATTTGCTGTCTTCTAAGTTCTGGCATACACCCAAGATGAAGGCTGATTTTCAACATCTGGAAATGAAAACTATTGCAGTACAGTGCGGTCCAGAGTTTTGCAAATATCTCAGCATCATTGAAGTTATATTTCACAATGTATACCCTGCCGTTAAAAAGAATAGGCAGTAAATAATACGTTAAAATTTATTACAGTACACTCTGTTATGCTGTTTCTCTAAGGATACCCCATCGAATTCAACAACTGCCAATACGTTAAAATTACAATCATTATAGAAGTGTAATTACAATGACGCTGAGATATTGGCAAAACTCCGACCCGCAGGTGCTTGCGGTGGAGATCGAACTCGCTATTACTCTTTCCAGATGCTAACGCGTTCATCACCACACCATACAGGTCTTTCCTATACATTCTGTTATTCTGTTTGTCTAAAGATACCCGATCGAATCCAACAGCTGACAGTACGTGAAAAATTACAATCATTCTAGAAGTGTTCACTCCATTAGGTTCGGATGGATGGAACTAAGAAGACCCATATCGATGGAGCTAACGGCTATGCACAACTGACTCGAATCATTACGGAGCTGAAGAAGACAAAGACGCCGAAACGTCAGCCGAGCAAAAGTTTTATAACAACTTCGTTTTAGCTTAATGATCCAAGGAAGTTCTGCCAGTATTTTTTCGATAACTACAATACTTAAAAACATGAAGACTTGACAGATTTTAAGGAGGTATGTCACCCTACTGCTTTGCGCACGTATAATTGTCCTGAAAAAATCATTTTCATTCTAAAAGATGTTGACGATTCAAGTCCACAAAAAACTCAAGCTTCTGGAAATGTTACCGCAACAGCGACAGCGGCATGGGAAGACATCTAATCCTGATGAACCTCATCCTATATTTTAAGCCGTCTCGCTGCTGTAGATATGGACGCAAACGAAGAGAAGCTGGCAAGAAAAGAATGACTTCTGAGCACCAAGAGGCAAGTGTTTCATTTCGACAACCTCCTAGTGATTGCAAAAACTTCTATTTCAAATATCGAACCTCATCGTGGTACATATCATCACCAATATGTGTACAGGCTCATGGTAATAAAATAAAAAGGGTGAAGCCTTCGGTGTTGATCAATCCCTGAGGGATGCGCGATGCATTCGACTTTATTAAGCATCGTTGGAGGTGACTAAATGCATATCTGGCCTTTACAATGACTCGCGGTGGCTTACCGATGTATCGAGCCAGTGCTGTCATTCTCATGAACAAGTCTGGTAGCAATTTGCCGATGCCGGAGGACGAAAGACTTGGTGGGTCTGGAGCGCGGAGAACCATCCCATGTGTATTGTAGGGCGCCTCCTACCACTGCGCTACACACGCTCTCACGGTGATGGCATTATTATAGAACTAACAAAAGAGGAGTTGATTACGCCTTTGCGCTAAAAGGTGACCTCACTCAAGAGCTACTTCTCGAAATGGAATCGCTTCCACGCTTCGGCTTATTGACATCGCACGAACGAACAATTACAAAATGCAGGGATACAGGATGGCTCTGACACCGAAGCACATGCAGATGTTGTAAAGAATACAAACATAGAATATGAATATAAAAAAGACGGATTCAATAAGCAAGTATTAGTAACCGAGTCTATCAATAAGCAAGAGATAAGAAATTACAAAAATATGATACAAAACTTAAGCATAGTTCAACATGGAAAGAGTGGCTGAGGTGCAATGCACAGTGACGCGGCCAATCATGAAGCAAGGTGCTAGTTCGACCCCCTCTCCAATTCTCCACTCCAATCCACCTGAGAACGGGTTAGCCAGGCTATCTCCAAGGCTGCAAGAAGAAGCGAATCGACCAGCATTCTACGTCATTCATAGAGAAGACGATATCCTCACGCAGCACCTGGAAGACGATTAGTGTTCGAAAAACATTGTGGACGATGAATGCGAGGAAAACGAGTCGAGTGCCAGAAATGCTGGGATCCGCCCTACAGATGTGAGAAAATGGGTTATGTGAGAAAAAATAACTGAAAAAAATTACTGGTCATACTGCGCTTAGAATACTAACCCAAGCAGAGCGATGGCTCGTCGATTTCTGTGGAAAACGAACAAACTCTGGAAGAGAGAACTACGGATTTCACAAGTACACAACAGACTGCACTAAAGCTAGTAGAGAATACGAGTTCAACTGACGATTTCTACTTCCCTAAGTACGATAGATGATCCAGACTGTCATACGATAGCTTTCATTTCGACATTTGCAAATGCACGAGATTTGCTCTCTGGCTCTTCAAGGCCTGAAGGGATATACTTCAACACGACTGAACATGCAGTCAGGAAAGCCATCAAGACGTACGCGGTCAGCAGGCTTATGCTGATCGTTTTTGTAAGCTGCAGGTCTGGAGAACATTGCGAAGAACGCAGGATAACCAGAATACCCTCACAATGGCCTTGAAAATTTGCACACTGCATCGATACAATGGTGTATATCTCACTATAAGAAACGATATTATAGGATAGATTCGCCATCTACAAGAAAAAATCTGACAACCGAAAATAAATGAAAAACTCAACCTAATTCTAGTACAAAAACATTGGTGTCAAAAGATAGCGTAAAGTGCAGTTAGTGCAATCACAGAATAATGATGTACCCTACCATACGTTGGTCGCAGTACATTCAGACCATCCACTGGTACCAGTGCTTTCACGGTACTAAGATGTTGTTGGTTTTGTAATTCTGTCTACTTCGTGAACGCCAGAATTCCTGGTATCCACGTGACTCCGCCCCGGACATTACTATGTAATCCATGACATCGAAAGGAGGAACTACTAGCACTGCTTCGTCAGTAGCTTTGGAAAATTCCTTAGGTGGGATTGTTGCTAAAAGCTCTCTTTTACGAAGAGACCATTTAAAGTTTACTCATGTTTTTTGCGTAGCGTATTTCCAGGACGTGAACACTATATCCTACCTTCTTCCCCATCTACTTCACATCCAGTTCAAGCAAGTGCATCACCAGCAAGGAAGGGTGGTTTGATGACTCGAATTTTTGGGTCAAATAAAGATAAGGTGAGAGTCTAAACAGCCTCCAGTTTTACAACAACTAGTTGCAAATTAGGAGGCGGATAGCACAGTGGTAGTGATGTTGGTCATAGGTCGGATAGCACGTGCATGGTGCTAGTTCGATTCTGCTCCGGACCAACAAAGCCTGTCATCTCCCCAGGGTCATCGGAAAATTGGTACTGGACTTCTCCGTGAAGTTACTCTCTGCTATCCAAATGGGAGAGCTCCAGCACGGCTATCCCAGGATTCCAGGGCGAATCTAATGGACCAGCATTCTACGGCATTCAATATGAAAGGAAAACCTTAAGCAGCCAAAACCACACGGTAAAAACTTTGGAGGATCATAGTGGATGAGGATGCGTGAGAACGAATCGAATGCGAGAAGTGCTGAGATCTGCACAGTTGGCATGAAGATGGGTCATATAAAATAAAAAAGTGACAAATTAGCTGTATCTGTGTAGAATAACATACTAGTTTGTTCGAGGCGCAAATGGCGCAGTGGTCGGAGGTGACGTGATATACACATGGGATCGATCCCAGCGCCCTAGGCTCGCCAAGCCTTCCATACATCCGGGCTCTCTGAGAGGATGGCAGCATTGGCTCGATACATCGTGGGCTACTGCGAGTCGTTGTAAAGGCCAGGTTAAAGGCCAGATGTGCATTCATTCACCTCCAACGGTTCTCAATGAAGTCGAATGCATGGCGCATTCATCTGGGATTGATCAACGCCGAGAGCCTTATCCTTTTTTGTCCGTTACTTGTTTGTTGGCGAATGGACTTGTTGGTTGGTGCAACCTTTCCAGCGGGACAATTTTTGAAGCTGCTAAACTTGGTACCCATTGTTGGACTGTTTTCCAAATTGTTGATATAAATTTTGCGTTAATTACTGTTTAGTTATAGGATGTAGCAAGACCGGCAAATCCTTTGATCACTGTGGAAGGTTCTGTGACCCAAAACGCATGGGCTGGCATTAGCAGAAGCAGCCCAATGAGGATCCGTCTCAAAACGTTGATGCAGTTACAGGAAGTGTGTTTATGTTTCGTAATACGTACATGTCGTCAGAGTTTAGTTTAGTACGTGCAGGCCTAAACATAGGTTTAGACGCTAGTATGACCTTAGAGTCATTTCCGAATTGTTTTTTGAGGATGTATCTTGGTTTCAGAGCTTTTTTGAAAGTCGAAC